GGACATGGTGGGGAGGAGAGCCGAGGGAGCTCAGGAAGCTCCCGTTCCTGAGCTCAGGCGGCTGAGACTTTGGAAAACCCCCTTAGGATGACCAAGAATGAGTTTTCCCATCTGCAAAGGAAGCCCTGTAGTTGGACTCACGTTTGAGATATAAGAACGTCTCTAGCTACCCACAAGTAGGGCAAGAAAAGTCGCATGCACTCAGAGGAGCAGAATTCCCTGGGCCATGTGCAAGGCCGTGTGACCACGGGTCCAGAGGAAGAGGTCAGACTCCCCACATACAGAATAGACTGTGTTAGTACTTTGGTTCATAACAAGAGAATTATTTCTGGCCCTGACTGCAAAGTCCACGGTGTTTTTGTCATACTTATATGCCAATAACATAAAACCTCAGGTGGGAAGAACAGAAGTCAGATTCATGTGTCTAGATACTAACAACGTTTCTGAGGATAAGTGTTTGTCATACTGATTAGCTGCATGAGAGGCCTGGTCCTTCCAGGGCACAGAATGGTGAGTGACCTTGGACCCCCGCTGGTCCGTATATGGGGGTGTGAACGTATTTATCGTCAGTGTTGAGGAACTGATGGAACACCTCTATCAGATAATGGAAACCATCATTCATTTTTCTCATTTTTTCCTTGGCCGCCAGAAAACTCAGAACACAATGTCAGACTATATCCAAACCTCTGATATATCCTGGGTTTCTGGTAAAATTATGTTTCTATTTCCCTTGCGTTTTTCCTAATTTACTCTGTGATTCAACTTTTAATTGTGCAGTTGTACATGTGTTTATCAACTACCTCAAATTGTTCATGAACTATGAACACAAATAAATAGCCAGGAACAGATTATCTTTTCTTTAAGCACACGATTTTTGAAGTAAGGTGGACCATCTAATAAAAGAAGTATTACAACGTTAGCTCAACCCCCTCAAAATTTGTACCAGGATCTTAAATTGCAAATTCCTTTTTCACAGTATTGTTTCCTTTCACAGGTATTATCCAGTGGTTGAGTCTCCTCTAAGCTCAGTCCCAGTTTCTTACAGACCCATAGCCCTACCTCTGTCACACTGAGAAAACATCACTGAGGCGGCGTGACCAGCCACTGGGGGTCGGTGCCCCACAAAGCGGCAGTCTGGAATAGGGAAGGTATACTTGATTTTGATTTCCTCATTTTCTTATGCTAAAAATAAAGTTTAGCTGGTAGGCATCATTTTATCACTTGATATCAAATGTCTTAAAAATTTTTTTAAAATTTACATTATAAATTCCCCCCATTTGCCTCAAGTTACTTTTTGTATGTTCAAATAAATGGATCTGTCCACATACTAAAACACCTTTTTACTTGGCTATGAACTGACATGATATATGAATAAAATGAAGTTATATCCCTACGAGGAATATATTCACTGAACATTTTATTGCTAAAAGACCAAAAGGATGGGTAATTTCATCAAAACCAAGACTCAGGCTGCCACTCTTGTCATATCAGAAGAGGCTGAGTCTCAGCAGGGATGAAGTAGTAGACGTCAACGTCACACTTGTATTGTGGGGTGTGTGCAGGTATTTATGTGCATAAATAGCTGTGAGAGAGGAGAAACTTTGGAAGCAGGAAATCTTTTAAAGCCAAAAATAATTGAAATCATACAGATTTGAAATAGCACCAGTTGTAAGATGTTAATGTATACATGAGTCTTATCTACTACAAGAAGCAACTTTTCAGTTTGAGAAATTCAAATGTCATCCCTTAGTTAAAAATTACTGGTAATATATAATCATCAGGGAAGTGCAAATCAAAAACCACCATGAGCTGTCACCTCACACCTGTCAGAATGGCTAGAATCAAAAAGACAAGAAACAACAGGTGTCGGTGAGGATGTGGAGAAAAGGAAACCTCGTGCACTGTTGGGGGAATGCAAGCTGGGGCAGCCACTCTGGAAAACAGTATAGAGGTTCCTCAAAAAGTTGAAAATAGAGCTACCCTACGACCCAGCAATTGCACTACTAGGTGTCTACCCAAAGAAGACAGAAACACTAATTTGAAGGGATACACGCATCCCTGTTTATAGCAGCATTATCTACAATAGCCAGATATGGAAGCAGCCCAAGTGCCCATCGACTGATGAATGGATAAAGAAGATGCGGTATATATATATGTACATATATATATATATATACACACACATACACACAATGGAATATTACTCAGCCATCAAAAATGAATGAGATCCTGCCATTTGCAACAACATGAATGGATCTAGAAGGTATTATGCTAAGTGAAATAAGTCAGAGAAAGACAAATACCATACGATTTTACTCATGTGGATTCTAAAAAAACAAATGAATAAACAAACAAAAAGCAGCAATGGACCCATAAAGGCAGAGAACAACCTGACGGCTGCCGGAGGGGAGGGGAGGGGAGGGCAAAACAGGTGACGGGGAGTGGGACGTACAGGCCCCCAGTGAGGGGATGAATAAGCCAGGGGGATGCACAGGGGATACAGCCAATGCTCCTCTAACTGTGTCGTGTGGGGACGGGTGGGGACTACGCTCGTGACGATCCCGGCACAACGTAGAGAGTCGTCAGATCATCATGTTGTACACCTGAGACTAACCTAACATAGTGCGCCAGCCACACTCAATAGAAAATGATTGATACTATATAGACATCAAAAATAAAACTCAGAAAGCTTCACCTGGTGCCGCACTGACACTCCTCTTGAGAATTGGCACGTCGGTGATGTAAGTTTTTTTTTTTTTAAAGATTTTTTATTTATTTATTTGACAGAGAGAGAGAGAGAGACAGCTAGAGAGGGAACACAAGCGGGGGGACTGGGAGAGGGAGAAGCAGGCTTCCCGCCAAGCAGGGAGCCCGACGCGGGACTCGATCCCAGGACCCTGAGATCACGACCTGAGCCGAAGGCAGACGCTTATCGACTGAGCCACCCAGGCGCCCCTCGGTGACGTAAGTTTTGAGTGGTAATTGGTTTTATGTAACAAGTCTGTAAACATTGCATTCTAAAACCGAGGAAATAGAAGTCCATAAATGTAAATAATTTGTCCAAATCCCCCCCCCACCCAGTTGGCTAGCAGCGCCGGGGAAACTCGAACCTGCGTCCCTTCCTGGAAAATCACTCTTCATCCACCGCCGCCACATGGGCTATTTCTACTAAAATATTAAGAGTTCTAATAATTATGTAGATTATGGTGCATGGCAAAACTTATGACATTATTTTAAATTAAATTAAACCATGCATTGAAAAATTGTCTAAATTGGCTGTTCCTGTGAATCTTCTCTAACATGCCACCTTCTTCACTCCTGTAAGATCTGGGGTGTTCTGTGCTCACACCAGCATCGTGTCTCAAAGGAAAATGAAGCCTGGCCATCTTCAAGCCATCCCCAAGCTAAGCCTCTGTTACTGCTTACGCGGGGACGGAGATCTCACAGGGAGACCTCGCAGCCTCGCGGGATGCACCTTGGGTAAGAATGTGCTTTGAGTGATTGTTTGAAAACTTCATGGTTTTTCCTGAAAAACTGTGATTATCAAATTATGTCTAGATGACACCTAATCTAAACTTTTTAGCCAAAAAAGTAACAGGATGATAAAGTTCAACTATTGACTAATCAAGAGATGATTAAGGGAAAAACTTGATTTCGTTCATGGTCTGCTAACTTGTTTTTCATTGAAAATATAAGCAACATGGTTTTAAAAATTTTTAGATTAAGGATTTACATGCATATACCTTTATAAAATAACATAAATACTTTTAAAAAACTAATTATTTAACTTACATGTTCGGTAATTTACTATAATATACAAGAGCAATAATAATATGATAAATTAATGTTTCAATCACAGAATTCCCTTAAAAGCCGACCTGTCACTCCTTTGGTATGTAACAGAAGTCTGATAACCATTTCATCATGGATGCTCATTAAAAATTCCCTGTCTCCTTAAATGCTAGCATGGGGACTTGGGGAGTAATTTATAATTTTTCCCTTGATTTTACTGAAGGACAATCAAAATAATTGCTTGATTTCACCCATAAATTAATGTTCAGCTGAAAAGGAAATAAAACATCAGGCAGTGAAGGAAGGTCACCCCGAGGTGCGGCTGGCACACCTGCTCGAGCATCTGAGCTTTCGTTACGTGGGCTTGGTTCTTGATGGCTTGTTAGGATGAACGACCTTAGACCTAGCAACCTAATTTGTGAAAAATCAGCTAAAAATTCATTACAGAGCCTGTAAACATCTCTAACTCCTCATAACCAACAACTTCCATTGAAAGGTACAGCTGCATTAATATCACAGGGAAGAAATTCCTTATGGAAAAGTAAATCTAAAGATCGATCTCTTCATGACTCTCAGCCTGAGGTGTGTGTGATAAAATTCTGCTATGATTTATTTTTAGCGATAATTACCTAGCCACCTGATCTTGTAGATGTTCTCCACACCCACCTCTGTTATGGACCTAAACCTCAGTATTTACAGGAACGATATAATCATTTAAGCCTCAAAGCCTCATTAGTGTGATCTGTCCTGGACGTTAATCTCCTGCCAGGACCTTCCCCTACAGATGCCTAGGTAACCAGCTTGGGCTTCCCTTCCCAATCACAGAAGCTGAGTTCCTGCAGGAAGATCAGGAAGGTCATACTCTCATCTACCCTCCGTGACTTATCACCATCCTGCAGCTACAGAATGAGCAAAGGGCCAAGGACCAGCAGGCCGTCTCAGTGGAACAGAGGGAGGTTCTTAGCACGCCACTGTGTGTGTGGGAAAATGAGTTTAAGGCTGGTCTGAATTTGTGTTATCTTATGTGTTATCGTGAATTCTGCCTGGAGACCCTGCACGTGAAACCAAAGGCTGAGTTCACATCAGAGAGAGGAGGAAAAGACAGCACTCACTGTTTTCCAAGAACACCCCCCACTCATCGTCACCCTTTGGTCTGGACCCTAGACAAGCCAGGGTACACCATACATTATGAAAGAGGCGGCTGTTACCTTCTGTGTCTTGCATATTTGCCACTGACGTGACCACTGCCGTCACAACCAGGTGTGGGACAACTGCAAAGAGAAAGAGGTAATTACACGGGGCCGAGCTGCTGGGGGGGATGAGGACACTGCTGGGGGCAGGCAAGTGCGCCGCTGGGGGCGGGGGGCGAGCGCACTGCTGGGGGCAGCGAGTGCTTCGGGAGCATCGGGAGGGAGGGTACACAGACAGAGAGAAGGAGGGCAACTATTAGGGCTGCTTTTTATTAGCAGGTAACCCATCAGAGCAGCCTGGCAGGAGCAAGTCCCCGGTGAGCCCCAGAGTGCCGTCTGCCCGTTAAAAGGCATGGATTTTCTAAATTGCTAATGGGGATACATTTTGCCCACAGAGCACTAACCTGAAGAGCTCTTGTATGGCTGGTTCCACGGGAACTGCAGAGAGATGGAAAACAGATAGAAATTTATCATCTATCACACATCCCCTCTCCCACAGAACGCTATCGAGAGGGTGGTGTCAGACCAGGGTCCGAACGGACGGTGCACACAGCTCCGCAGGACGAAGGGGTCCCTGAGCAGGGCTTTCAGGGGCTTGGGGATGCGTGGACGTACCTCGAACCCCTTTGGACCGTGTACGATGGCGCTTCTCCTCGGTGTCCACCTCCATCTGTGGACAGAAGAGCATGCGGTCAGTGCGCAGCTCCCGCCTGCGAAGGCCAGCCGGCATGCCCCCGAGCCCCAGCATCTTAGTGGCTATGGGGGAGCCCTCTATGGAAGGCGCATGGGGAGGAAAGCATCAGGCAATCTAATTGTGTTACTTAAAAAAAATCAAAGCAGACTTCGACCTTGCAGGGAACGCATCATCGGGAGGCCCTGCCCTCGGTAATAGGGCAGACTGACGAAGTTTCAGGGGCAGACTGTTTACCCTTTTCAAAGACGGATCAGGATATACCTGGGTTAATTCTGAGCTGCCTAATTTGTACCAAGAACACAAGGGATAGACGTTGCGTGTGCAAGCAGGTACATACATGTAGTCTGGAACCGAAGGTGTGATCCGATCACACCATTAAGAGAGGAGGAGGTGGGTGCAGAAGGAGGACGTGTTTAACTTGGGGGCTGACTCTGTGTCATTTAGCTTTGGATACAATCGCCGCCCACTTTGGTCTAAGTTGTCATGTTATGCATCCTGGGGACACAGGCCCTCTGCCCACAGTAACAGACACATCTCACACTTCGGAGATTACAAAGCATTTTCCTGTATTACCTTGTCTGGCCCTCACAATGATTTTGTAAGAAAGGTATCTTTGTTATATCTATTTTATAGATGGGACCTGCCCAAGGTCTTCCAAGTAGAATTTTTGGCCCAAGGCCCTGAAACCAAGCCACCTGGCCTACGCATCATCTTTAAGCCGAGGGACCACTACTGGACAGGTGAACAGTGTGGCAGTGTATTGGCTCACCCAATATTTCCACACGTATGTGTAACATATACACGCAAAGCTGCAGAGCTGGAGAATTTCGCTCAACACAACAGAGGGGCTGATGAGAGAAGAACCGTAAGGACAAAACTCCTCCGATCACAAGGACAGGACATTTCACCCCCATCTGTGACGTCCTTGCCCGTCCAAGGCACCCCAAGGCAGAAGACCGGGGCACCCCAAAACGTCTTCCATGCCCCGTTCACTTCCCCCACAGGTTAGGATGAGGAGGACATGATGGCGCGCAGAAGGGTCGTGAGATGCACGGGGCTCTGTCAGACTCACGTGAAGCAGAGAGCGGGCAGATCGGCTCTAACAACGACTGCTCCTAAGGCGCGATCCTCCACAGAGGCAACACCAAGGTGTCCTTGCGCTAAACCGGCAGCCCCCGATGGGGTGTTCCTGACAACTGACTACCAGCTGATTATTTATTAATACTGTTTGCTGAGTCTGGCAGTAGCACAGGAAAAAAACATATACTAAAAACCACAGCTCATTTAATGAGCTTAATATCTTTTAATGGGAGATGTGTGTGCAGACCCAGGGTTGTGCCAGATTCAACGAAACAGGAATTTGAGGAAAGGAGAAGCTAGTGTGAGGCGGGTCACTGAGGAAAGACTTCATCGGGGAAGCTGTGGGATTTCAGGGCTGTCTGTGAAAAAGGGAAGATTGTGTTTTAGCTTGTGTGGAGACACTGGAAGCTGTTGCGTGAACGAGGGAGGGGGTCTGTTTTCTGGGAAGCGGGCAGGTCAAGGGGGTGGCGCAGGCCAGGAGAGACAGGCTTGATGCTCAGCGCAGGGCCGAGGCCACGGGGAGCGCGGGGAGGGGGCACTCTGAGCGTCCGCAGACCCGGGAGGGGCCCCCGGCAGACCCGGGAGGTGTTCTGGAGCACGCGGGCTGGGGAGGGGCCTCACAAGTGTATTTTAGAAAAAATTAATTGAGCGGCAGTTTGAGAGCAGGTGCGGGTGGGGCGGGAAGGCAGAGATGGGCCGTCTGAGAAGGAGCGCTGTGCTGGCCTCCGTGGAGATGGCAGCTCACTCCGTCCAGGGAAGACAGATGGAGGAAGAGGAACTCAAGAAACGTTTCAGGGAAAAGGAGCATGATGCAGCGGCTTGTTTGCCCCTCTTTTGGGCACCAGCCCCTCCTCCGCGATTTCAGCACAGCCAGGCTCGGGGCTGGGATCCCCGAGTGCAGGCACGGTTTGTGGATCTGCAGGATAAGGCCACAGCACCTCCGGATAACACGTCGATGCTCCGAAATCACTACTCCACGTGGGAAATTTTTCCGAACACTGTAAAACTGTAGCAAAGCAGATCGGGCCCACGTGACACGAGGCAAATGTGTGCCAACGTTCAGGAAGGTGATGGGAAACAGACTGCGTCCCATCCTGCCATGCTGCGGACCTGTCATGGGACCGGGGGTGCAGAGATAATGGGCTGAAATCCTATTCTTTAAGGAGTTCAATGCTGAGTGCTAACGGGGTGCCGGAGGAGATCACTAGAGACCTGTTCCCACCGGGGCAGGTGGAGCTTGGGTGCACCATGTCTAACCCATCCTGGGAGAGAAAGTGGGGCTTCCTGGGGGGAGGGAGTTTGAGCTGAGTTTTCAAGGTTAATTGCAGGTCTGAGGTTAAAAGTGGGGGTGTGTGTTCCAGGCAGAGGGAAGGGGCTGTGCAAAGACCCTGGGGTTTGCAGGCCTGGGGTGCAGTCCGGGGCTCCGAGGAGGGGCAGGGCTCAGGGGTTCACAGTGCAGGCCACTTGGTCCCTTCCAGGAGCATCATGGGCTGCTGCCACAGCCTCTGATGGCAAACCTGCCTTTAGAACCGCCCCCCCCCCCCCCGGCTGTAACTCAGGACCGAACTTGTCACAAGGGGGGCTGAGGCTGCCACTCCTCTGTGGGTATTAAACCGAAAAACTTGGCCTCATTAGCTAATTCTCATATGGTTGTATAAGACTTATTTTATTTTTTATGTTTAAATTTTTAATCCATCTTTTTACATCTAGAAGGACAATCTTATTTCCTTCCAGATACAGTTACTTCTGCCACTGATCACTCATTAAATACAGAACCCTTTCCCCAGCACCCTGCAATACCCTTCCTGCTGTGCGTTCAATTCCCACCAGACCCGGGTCGGCTGGGGGGCCATTCCAGCCACTCCTATCCTTGTTTGTTCTGGGCTCATCCTGCGTGAAGTTTCAGGCTCTAGAACGAGTTCTGCTCTCTGTACCGGTTCCTTGTCATTTATAAACAGTCCCGCAAAGCACCCAACGTACAGGAGACACTAAGCAAATGGGGGTTCGTTTTTCTTTCTCCTGCGAATGAACCCCAAAACCGAAGAGCTCAAAACTTTTAAATTTTGCTTTGACTCAGATGTTTCAAGGTGCACGAATGCCAGCAAGGTCAGATGAAGCAGAAAGCGTAAAAGTCATCACCCAGAGCTTGAGGAGTGCTTCCATCTCTGACGTTTACACCCACAAGCTTATGGTCAAAGACCACCTGACACCACGGGCTCGTCCACACATCTGCCTCTTTGAGGACCCTGGGCCTGCCCGCCACCCCCAAAGGCAGGCTTCTGCTGTCCCGCGGCTTTCCCTCCCCTGGCTGCTGCCCTTGGAAGCGCCCCGGGAACTGTGCTTCGCAGTCTGTTCCTCTGGGGCCCTGAGACCGGTAGCAGGAGCTCCACTGGACGATACCATGACGGTGAGTACGAGTTCGCTCTTCCCTGGGGCCAGAGACCGTGAATCCCGCTGTCACGGCTCAGGTTCCGACCCCTTCGCCAGTAATTCGCATTTAGCAAACATACCCTCACGCCCACCTTATCACGAATGCTTTTATTTGTAAGTCCAGTGCTTATATTTAGAATAACAAGAGGCTTCTTTTAGGAACCTTAAATCTTTTATACTTAAAGAAAAGTCTCAAATGTAAGACATCTACTTTAGAACCAACAGAAGTTACCAAACTGACTTATTGAAGAGAGAGTAGGCTAATTATTTTATAATATGTAAAGTTTACACTTAGAATCAGGACTGAGTTTATAATTTTCCCCCTCTCCCCCCATCTCCCCCCAAAGTGCACACTTTCTTCAGGTTGAGGCCTCATGAAGATTACAGAATATTAACTAATCAAAAACTCAGAGGTTCCTTACAGTCCCGTCAGCTCTTGGAAGCTGCTTTCCGGCAGTGAACAGCTCTTCAGGCCATAGCAGCGGGCCCCGGGGAGGGGCGCCGGGGGTCCCAGCTCAGAGGGAGCCCGCTGACGGCCACCCTGCACTCTGCACACCAGGAGCCTGCTCCTTCTGGCGGGACCAGGGTGGGAGAGACGGGGTCTCCCTGGTACAGAGCTCGGACTGGACACAGCTGAGCCCTGAGCTCTCTCCCCCAGAGCTGCCCCTCAATTATTCAGGAAGCAATTACCCATTTCGTCAATTAGCCAGACCCATCTTTCACCTCCTGCTGCTCAGCATCGGGTTCTTTCACTGCTCATTCGCACCATCAGGAGGACTGTGCTGTGCGTGAGCAGGAAGTGAAGTTCATTGACTAAGTGGTGACTCGGAGGAAGTCTGGGCAAGGAATAATGAAGAGAAGCCAGAGCGTCCGGCCAAATCAAGAGCGCAGATCAAACCACGTGCCCATGTTTTTCCCGGCGCTCTTATTCCCATGAGCTACTGTCCCGGGGGTCACCGAGGCCTGGCCCTCCATGTCCACCGTCTCATGACACACACCGCCGCCTCCACGTCCCCACCCAGACTCAAGGAAGTCTCGGCTCATAAAAACCCATCTGTGAAGATCGGCAAGAACCAGACATTCTCTGTGGTTGTCCTCTTTGAATTGCGTTTAGAATAAGTACTATAGCAATTAAAAAATTTTTCCCCCAAGACGACAAAGTGATTTTTAGTGAATTTAATGTAGTGCAAATACATTAAATTTTAGGATTTCTGTCCAATGTTTATATTAAGTGACAGGATGGCATATTGTTAGGATGTTGCAGAGTTAGGAGAGATGGACGGGTCATGCGCCACGGTTTGTGACCATTTCCTTGTTAGGTATCCAACCTCACAGTTTGGAAATGAGGAAAGACAAGGTGCATAAAACAGGTGGCAAAGCCTTGACTTGTCTGCTCCTACTTCTCCTTGTCCTTCCTAACCTTTCTCAGTGAGCCAACCTCAGCAGAAGGAGGCCAGGCCCCGGCC